GGTCCTTGGTTAGGACTCGAGCTGTTGAGCTACCAACCAGCCCCAAAGGCTATGAATCTCACCAAAGATTAACCACATTATAATATAACAACAGCAACAACAATAACAATATAGAAGGATCATCATTTGGAACACAACACGCCAGTTATAATGGTTGTAGAGGGCCGAAGCATACAGTTGATTGATATGCCAGAGCCGAAGAAAAAGAACCAGAAAAAATAATGAAATCTCGTGACCTGGCCATTGAAACTACACGGCTATGGATGAAACATGTAACAGTGATACCCATTGTCTTCGGGGCACTTGGTACCATCTCCAAGAATTTTACAAAACACATAAATAAATTATAGCTTCCTGCAGTAACACCAGTGGAACTGCAAAAAACTGCGCTACTAGGAACATCATATATTTTAAGAAGGTATTTGGTTGATACCTAGAACGCTGGCAGCAACCCGTATCAATCATTAGCACCAGTCAATGGTATTTGTGTTGCATTTTTAAATGTTCAGTTGACTGAGTTTCATGTTTAATGAATAAAGTAAATAATAATAAAATAATTATTATTTATATAAAGTATATAATGATATTATATTTATTATTTATTAATTATTTAAATATAATATAATTATATTCATAAGTTATAATCTCCAGTGACGTATTAACTTGACTTGGTTTTGGGGCTTGTGTGCTCTGAGGAAGATGGGAGCTATGCCAGAGTTTTAGCCTTATTGAACAGGTCTCTTCAGAGGAGTCAGACAAAGAGTGTCTCTCCCATAAACAATGTGGTGTGATGTCATTTACAGCAACCCATACCTGATCAGTCATCAACGAGGAGTGCATTAGATGTTGGAGTTCCTGGACATCTGATGACAAAGAGACTATGAGGTTCACATCTGATAGCTGAGCAACCAAGACCAACAGTTGCAGCACCACTGGAAGAAAAGGTGTTTATCTGCTGCAAATATACCAAGATTGAAAACAAAGAAATAACGCTCTGTTTCTACAAATCAAGACCAATGAGAAGAGGCTATCTGGAAAAAAATGCACCAGTTCTGGAAAAAACATCCTTAATCAGAAATAAAAGAATAGAGTCTAGTAGATAAATCATGTATTATAATGTGAAATAAAGTACTCATAGAAATAAAACTAGAACTGCAAAAGTCTACCCAGAGCAAAGAAATCAAAGCTTTGCCAGAAGTAGCTCAGACTTTAGAGGCAAACTAGGGGAGTCCCCAATAGAGGAAGCCAGAATAGTTACTGAATTGTTTTCATTCCCAAACCAAGCACTCTCTCCCCTGCCTTCTCAGAAAGAACAAAGGCGTCTAACTAAAAAAAAATTGAAACAAAGAATAACTGGCCTCTAGAAGAGCATAAAAACATAGAATAAACTTTCCTGCACTGAAGCTTGTTCCAAAGAAATAGCTGGTACACATATTAAAATATGTCAAATACAAGCACCAGCAAGAAATGAGCCAATAAATGTACAGCATGGTTGCAGTTATAACTGAATACTTAGGATGCAAAATCAGCAAAAAAAGAAAAAAGCCAAACGGCATCACCAAAATGGATTTTTGGGCTGGAAAATAAAATCAGCAACCTAAGGGCAGGTGATGCAAGCTAAAAGAGGTGAAAGAAAAAAGAAGCTAAAGAATAAGAACATCAGAAAATATCTTATCAAGAAATATCACCTAGAAATGAGGAAGGTTACGGAAGAATTGGAAACAATAAAGCAACAAATAATAGGTATAACCAAGATCAGCAGATATGAAGCTCAAGTTGCATATTTAAGTAGAATGTCCGATTTCCATCCATTTAGAATTATTTCCACCAATCCACCAATGGAGAGACTATAGAGATTGAAATACAGAGATTGTGCTGTATTTTTATTTTATTGTACACTGATATGGTTAAAAGCTAATCAATAAATTATTATGGTGGTTCTCACAGTCAGCCAACTATAGTGAAAAGTAGAAAATTCAAGTAGAAAGAACTTGTTTTCAACTAGTTGAATCTTTCAATATTAGGTAGATTTTGCTAGATGTTAACCAGTCTTCAATTTCCCATCCATGCAGTATGTTAAGCTGCTTGGCAACTTAAGTGGATGATATCATGATCCTCCTCCTGCTTATCCTCCTCCTTATTATCTCAGACTGCAATCTTAAATGTGTGTATATAGAACCAACGTCAGTTGAATGCAAGAAGGATCTGCCATTAAGAAAACAAATAATAATATAGTATCTTAAATAAAAAATCAAGTAAACCATTTTACAGCTTGAATATTGTATGAACCAAATCATTCTGATATGTAAATAATTTATGGCTTATTTTACTGGGTTCCATACAGGTGTAGGTTCCTATCGGTCCTTGCTGGTCCTTGCGGACCAGTTGGTCGGTGAACCCGGAAGTAATTAACTTCTGGGAACGCTGGTACCGGTCCTGGCCCCTGTCGCTGCAAAGCTCCCTTGCCGACAAGGCAGCGCGACCCGCTCGGCATGTAGAAACAGCAAAAGAAGGAACAGGAGAGGAGTTCCAAGCGAGGCTTTTCAAACAGCCGAACCCCTCTGCTGTCCCTTTCTTTTGCTGTTTCTACATGCCGAGCGGGTCGCGCTGCCTTGTCGGCA